TGGGGTCGAAGAAGTGGCATCGAAGCCTCCAGACGCCATGCTCTGAATCGCTGACGCCATGCTGTTGAAGCGCGCGGACGTGTGGCCAAATGAATGAGGCTGCGCTGGGTGGGCTTTGTCCGCTTTCGACGCGCAACCGAGTTTCTTTAAACTTCTTTCTTGGCGGAGGATGCGGCGGAAGAGGAGGAGGGGGAGAGTGAGGGGGAGGCGGAGGCGGGGGCACCTGTGACGGCCCGCTACGAGAAGGGCGACTACCGGTTCGCGCGGGAGAAGAAGTGCGACCTGCGTTTGCTCGACTTCGAGACGTTTGGCGGCTTCGGGGACGGCGTCCGCAAAATTCTTCGGCAGGCGGCGGACCAGCTGAGTAACAAACTTTCGCACGCTCAGCACCTCGATGAGGTCACATGGACCACCAAGAACTGGCACGGGCTGCAGATGCAGCGCTTGTCTGTCGTTCTCCACACCGCCGTGGCGTGGCAGACGGTGAACGAGCTAGCGTGCGGGGAGGGCGGCGGCGGCGGTGTAGGTGCGGCGGCGAGCTCCCGGTTGCAAATACTCGCCTCACAGTCCAAGATGGCGGCTCGCGCCCCCATCCGCGCACCAGCGTGCCTCTCTAGTCCCGCCTGCCGCCCAGATACCGAGGGCGGGGCGCACTCTTCGACTTGGGCTATTATTTGCCACCGGGAGGGCGGCGGCGGCGGTGTAGGGGCGGCGGCGAGCTCCCGGTTGCAAATACTCGCCTCACAGTCCAAGATGGCGGCTCGCGCCCCCATCCGTGCACCAGCGTGCCTCTCTAGTCCCGCCTGCCGCCCAGATACCGAGGGCGGGGCGCACTCTTCGACTTGGGCTATTATTTGCCACCGGGAGGGCGGCGGCGGCGGTGTAGGGGCGGCGGCGAGCTCCCGGTTGCAAATACTCGCCTCACAGTCCAAGATGGCGGCTCGCGCCCCCATCCGTGCACCAGCGTGCCTCTCTAGTCCCGCCTGCCGCCCAGATACCGAGGGCGGGGCGCACTCTTCGACTTGGGCTATTATTTGCCACCGGGAGGGCGGCGGCGGCGGTGTAGGGGCGGCGGCGAGCTCCCGGTTGCAAATACTCGCCTCACAGTCCAAGATGGCGGCTCGCGCCCCCATGCGTGCACCAGCGTGCCTCTCTAGTCCCGCCTGCCGCCCAGATACCGAAGGTGGGGGACGCACTCTTCGACTTGGGCTATTATTTGCCACCGGGAGGGCGGCCGCGGCGGTGTAGGGGCGGCGGCGAGCTCCCGGTTGCAAATACTCGCCTCACAGTCCAAGATGGCGGCTCGCGCCCCCATCCGTGCACCAGCGTGCCACTCTAGTCCCGCCTGCCGCCCAGATACCGAGGGCGGGGCGCACTCTTCGACTTGGGCTATTGCCACCGGGAGGGCGGCGGCGGCGGTGTAGGTGCGGCGGCGATGGGCTCTTTCTCCTTTCTACACTTCCTCGCTTTCAAACACCGCGTTTTGATGCAGTGAGGGCGGGCCCCTGTTCTTTGAGCCTTGGGGACGACCACGGCCTTGACCACACGGCCTCGCTGCAGGGAAGCAGGAACGCGCGGCATTGGTGGCACAGAGATCCCTACCGGTGCCGGCAGTGGTAGGCGCACCGCCGCTCTCTCCGCTGCCGCCTCCGCCGCTGCCGCCTCGACTGCTGCCGCCTCCGCCGCTGCCGCCTCGGAGATGCCAGAGCCTTCGAAAGTAGTCGAACTTGTGAAATTTTCAGTGAAACGGGGGCGGCCGAAATGTTTCATGTGAAATTCACATGAATTCACATGTGAAAGTGAAAGTGTGAAAATTCACTCACGAACCCTGGCAGCCGAGCGCTCCGTGAGCGGTGAGGCGGCCGGGCGAGGGCGCGGCGGGTGACGGGGCAAGGGAGCAGCCCACACCCGGGCGTCGCTTTTTGAGCGACGCTGTGGTACGCCTGCGCAGGGGCCGCAGGGCGGTCAGTTGTGGGGCGAGGCGGTGCCGGCCGCGGGCCGGGTGCAAGGCGCCGGCCTCGGCGCCGCCTCGGCGCGCCGCACGGGCGCGGCGAGCCTCTGAGCGGGAGCCGAAGGTTTGCTGCGGTGGGAGGGACGGTGGGGTGGTTTGACTTTGCCGCAGAGGCCGTCCCTAGCTGTGAACAGCAAAACTGGACAGTACCCGGGTATACACCTGCCCCCCCCCCCCGGCCCCCCCCCCCCTCTTGCCGCTTTCGCCGGCTCCGCGACTACTCGCCCGGAGCGGCCATGACGGAGCAGATCTTATCGCGCTTCGACTCGCTGGCCCTGACGGAGAACGATCTCGTCGTCATCGTCGGGCTGGAGTTCTCACGGCAGCACAACTTTGAGCCCGCACGAGTGCTCGACAGCAGTGGCGAACGGCTCAAGGTGCAGCTGCTGCATGGCAGCCGGAAAGGCCTCTCGATCCGGCGCGGAAACCTGCTCAAGATGAGCCGCGCGCAGGACCGCACCGCCCTCCTGACTCGCATTGTGTGGGAGCGGCAGCTCGAGCTCCGCGTCGCACGGGCCTTCCTGGTTGAAAAGTTCCACGGCGAGGAGGGGCTCGCGCTCGAGGTGGCCAAACACTTTTCGCCGCGCGAGACGCTCGCCCTCACCTCCGGCTACTCGCTCGGGAGGATGGTGCCCGAGTGGAGCGCCGTCGGCATCGAGCGAGGCGGGCTCGTCTGGCGGCCTCTCCACGGCCGCGCGCCTGGAGGGCCTCGCGTGCACGGCGCGGACCGGGTCGCAGACGGTATCGTGCGGATCGACTGCGCAGTGGTGAGCGTCGGCGCTGGCCGCTTCGTCGTCGCCGGAGGTTGCGACGACCACCCGGGCCGCACGTCGCGCTTCTTCGCGTCGGCGTTCGAGTACGACGCCATCGCGCGGGCCGCGGCGCCGCTGCCTGCGATGCCGACGGCGCGGCACGGGTGCGGCGGCGCGCACATCGATGGCAAGGTGTACATCGTGGGAGGGACGTACGTGCAGCCGGACGGCGCGGCAGACGCAGTGGTGCTCGACCTGGGCGCGAGGGGGGGCGGGTGGCAGCCCCTCGAGGACCTTCCCTCTCGGGCGGGCGGCGGCCCCTCCTCGGGCGGCCAACCTGAGGAACCTTCTAGGAACCTTCTAGGAGCCTTCTCCTAGGCGGGCGGCGGCCCCTCCTCGGGCGGCCAACTCGAGGAACCTTCTAGGAACCTTCTAGGAGCCTTCTCCTAGGCGGGCGGCGGCCCTTCCTCGGGCGGCCAACTCGAGGAACCTTCTAGGAACCTTCTAGGAGCCTTCTCCTAGGCGGGCGGCGGCCCTTCCTCGGGCGGCCAACTCGAGGAACCTTCTAGGAACCTTCTAGGAGCCTTCTCCTAGGCGGGCGGCGGCCCTTCCCTCGGGCGGCCAACTCGAGGAACCTTCTAGGAACCTTCTAGGAGCCTTCTCCTAGGCGGGCGGCGGCCCTTCCCTCGGGCGGCCAACTCGAGGAACCTTCTAGGAACCTTCTAGGAGCCTTCTCCTAGGCGGGCGGCGGCCCTTCCTCGGGCGGCCAACTCGCCTTCGCGCCGGTCGCGGCGGTGTGGGGCCGGCTGGTCCTTCTGGCGCCCGTGGACAGTTTCTCTTCACACCTCGAGCTGTGAACAGGTGTGGGGCCGGCTGGTCGTTCTGGCGCGCACCACTACCCCTGGGGGCGTGCACGAGTCGGAGGGTGCCGTCCTGCAGGTGTGAACAGCGTCTCTTCACACCTCTTGCTGTGAACAGTGCACGAGTCGGAGGAGGGTGCCGTCCTGTGGGCGTACAACACGCTGCGGCCGGAGTGCGGCTGGAGGGCCGCCACACACCTAGATGCGGGACACACGGGCCTCTGCAGCCGAGAGAGTGCGGGACACACGGGCCTCTGCAGCCGAGAGAGTGCGGGACACACGGGCCTCTGCAGCCGAGAGAGTGCGGGACACACGGGCCTCTGCAGCCGAGAGAGTGCGGGACACACGGGCCTCTGCAGCCGAGAGAGTGCGGGACACACGGGCCTCTGCAGCCGAGAGAGTGCGGGACACACGGGCCTCTGCAGCCGAGAGAGTGCGGGACACACGGGCCTCTGCAGCCGAGAGAGTGCGGGACACACGGGCCTCTGCAGCCGAGAGAGTGCGGGACACACGGGCCTCTGCAGCCGAGAGAGTGCGGGACACACGGGCCTCTGCAGCCGAGAGAGTGCGGGACACACGGGCCTCTGCAGCCGAGAGAGTGCGGGACACACGGGCCTCTGCAGCCGAGAGAGTGCGGGACACACGGGCCTCTGCAGCCGAGAGAGTGCGGGACACACGGGCCTCTGCAGCCGAGAGAGTGCGGCGGCAGCAGCGACGTGTGGCCGCCTGGTTCGCTGCATCCGTACGTGTACTCCCGCCCCTCGTCCTCGTCCTCCTCCTCCGCCTCCTCCTCCGCCTCCTCCTCCACCTCCGCCTCCTCCTCCTCCTCCGCCTCCTCCTCCTCCTCCTCCTCCTCCGCCTCCTCCTCCTCCTCCTCCTCCTCCTCCTCCGCCTCCTCCTCCGCCTCCGCCTCCTCCACACCTCCTTCCCTTACCCGAGCCCGCCCTGCTCGTGCACCAGGCCGTCAAGACGAGCCGCACCCCACCCTCGAGCCTTCTAGGAACCTTCTAGGAACCTTCTCCTAGGCCGTCAAGACGAGCCGCACCCCACCCTCGAGCCTTCTAGGAACCTTCTAGGAACCTTCTCCCAGGCCGTCAAGACGAGCCGCACCCCACCCTCGAGCCGAGCGACGTCTGACTTGTGCCCCGCCGAGCTCGGCGTGAGCGCGCACGGGGCGGTCGAGCGGAGGCAGGTGTGGGAGCCGTCGAGGAACCTCCTAGGAACCGTCTAGGAACCGTCTCCTAGGCGGTCGAGTGGGGGCAGCACCTCCTCGTTTCGTCCGGCCGCCCGGCGCGCGCGCCAGGCTACACAGGCGCGACGGAAGCCAGGGGGGGGGGGGCGGCACGCAGTCGGGTCTGAGAGGAGTCAGCTCGCCCAATGGCCTCCGTCATGTCAGGCGTCGCCCCGCGCGTTGCGGCGCTGCCGTGCCGCGTGAGCTGCTTCCGCTTCCTGCTGCCGCCGGACGAGCCAGGCAAGTGGGCGCTGTTCACAGCAAGAGGTGTGAAGAGACGCTGTTCACACCTGCCGGACGAGCCAGGCAAGTGGGCGTTCCAGCAGCAGCACGGCGAGGGCTTCTCGATCACGAACGTGCCGCTGTGGACCGTTGGCGAGTGGAGCAGCCTGGGAGAGGTGAGCTCGGCGGGTCGCGTCGGCGCGGACCTCTCCGTCGTGCAACGGCAGGTGTGAACAGCGTCTCTTCACACGCCTCGCTGTGAACAGGCGCGGACCTCTCCGTCGTGCAGGGCGGGCTCTACATCTCTGGCGGGGTGGACGAGGGTCGTGGCGGCGTTTTCCACGGACGGCGCGCTGGGAGGGCGTGGACGCCTCTTCACACCCTCCTGCTGTGAACAGGACGTTTCGACGGCTCGACGGCGCGCTGGGAGGGCCGGTACGAGGACCTGCCGCCGCCGCTCGACACTAGGGGTCTGCTGGCTCGGGTGGCGCGAGAGGGGGATGCCGCCTCGGCCGGCCCGGCGCCGCCCGTCGAGTACGCGGCGAAGCTGCTGGCGGACCCAGACGCGAGGCGCAACCCCCCTTCCCCCCCCCCCCCTCCCCACTCCCCCCCCCCCCTTCCTACTCCCTTAACCCCCCCCCCCCCCCGTTTCCCACTCCCTTACCCCCCACCACCACCCCCCTCCACACACGCGCACACACGCACACACGCGCGCGCGCGCGCGCACAGCCCGCACACACCGGACCGGCCCTTGCACTCTCACCGCCGCGGTGGTTCCTCTTCTCTCAATCTCGCGGAGCCCCTTCGCCCGTCTCGCGGACGTCGAGGTGCGGAGGGGAGGGGGAGAGCCCCGCACTGCTGCGTGTGGAGACGTTTGCCCGGCCTCACCTCCCCTTTAGGCGCAGCGCTGCCGCCGCGTCCGACTCAACGGAGCAGCGCGTGCGGTACGAGTCCTCCTTACACGTGCGCTCGCTCGCGCTCGACGAGCCCCACCTGTGAACAGCGTCACTCTTCACACCCCTTGCTGTGAGCAGGTGCGCTCGCTCGCGCTCGACGAGCCCCACGTGCAGCGACTCCTCTCGCGGCTGCCCGCGTGCACGCTCACCGCCGCAAAGGGCGAGGGCGGCCGATCCGGCTGGCGCACCGTGGACAGCCTCGCGCTGCCGACAGCGATGCATGCGCATTCGGCCATCACCGTCCCGCTGCTACCGAGCGGTGGCTCGCCAGCCGCGGAAGGGGCGTCACCGTCAAGGCGTTAATGTGTCACCTGTCAACAACCCGCGCGCTCCGCCGTGATCCGTGTCGCGCTTGTCCCTCGCTGTCCCACAGTGCGCAGTGGCGAGTCACCGAGTGTGGGTCCGGTGACCGGTGTGGGGTGAGGCGGTGAGCCGTGACCCGTGTTGTGTGTAACAACCAGTCCAGTGTGCACTCTCTGTGCTGCGTGTAAGCTGTACTACCATGCGTGGACCTCAGGGCACAGGGGTCAGTAATAGAGTAACGACTACAATAAAAACATGTGGAGGGGGGGGGGGGGGGGCGCATGCGCAGCACACTCAGGCGAGGGGCTTCACACAGCACACAGTGCACACTCCACGCCGCGGCACGCGTGCACAAGACACACATCGCAAATAAAGCACCGAGGACCGACGCACCGACCCGAATCGGCACAAAACTAAAACGGCGCGCAGTGCGCGCAGCTACTACCCTGCCTGCAGAGGCGGGTGCTCCTCGGGTCCTCCGCGCGAACGACGACCGACGCGCCAGGGCGTGCTCAATCGTCAGCGCGTGGCGCACTCAATAATATAGCGGCAATACAGAATTACTTAGTTGAATGGTCAATAAACAGCCGCCCTCCTCGCTTGCAAGTGTGCGGCGACGCCGAGTGGCCATCTTCCGAGTCGCCTCAGGTCGCTTCAATTTGCACGCACGCGCCTGGTGTCAGCCCAGCGGTCATGCAGCGCGGCGACGCGTTCTGGACCCGCCCGAAGCAGGCATCGCCATGTCTATCTCCAGCCCTTTGAGAGCGCGAGGAGTCGCCGCCCCAGCCTTGCTGAGCTTGGAACGCGCTGGGCTGCGGCTTCGAGTTGGTGCAGTTTGCGAAGGCTGCGATGGCTTCGTTGGGGAGGCCGTGGCGGGTTGCCGCTGGCACAGATAGAGGAAAGAGGAGATGGCCAGACCAAGCGCGATGGCGGCCAGTGCGACCGCTCTCGTATTCGAGTCCGCCTCCTCCTGCTCCGCGAACGGCCACATGCCCCAGGACTGGGGCCGGCGGAGAGGCAGCCCAACCGGTAACGCTCGATGTTTTCTTTTTTGTGAAAATCTTTTTCTTTTGAGAGCAGGACGCCGGGTTTGTCTTGTATGTGCATGTCGGGCCTGGGTGTGTGTGAGGGGCAGAGGGGCGGGAGCGTGCGGGGCAGGGGCCCAACGTCGGGCGGCTTGTCGGGGTCCGGAGAATTCGAGGCGGGAACGAGGAGGGGAGAACGGGCGGTCGGCGTCGGAGTAGCAGGCCGCAGGGCGTACGGGGTAGCCGTCACTTTCCTGCCTCACAAGGGCGGGGCTGTCCCGGAAAGTGAGAGACGCCGGGCAGCGTGGCGCATTACTGAACCCTCCCATACGTGTTTGGGCTTCCTCCTTTGCTGTCCCGTCTCCTCATCTCTTTCCCGCCTGGGCGGGGCGGTGGGCGGGCGCGCGGTGCGGCGTGGCGTGTGCGTGTGTGCGACCGCAACGACGGACCGCTCGCAGAGGACCATTGGGTTTGTACTATTAACAACGAAGGCGCTCTCAAAGAAAGAAACCGGGGCCCTCAGCGGAGCTGGGAATAGGACCGCCGCAAGCGGCGTGGCGTGGAGCGGTTGAGCATCCCTCCGGGGGCCCCTCTGCCGCTATTGATGTTTTCTTTTTTCTTTTCGATGTAAAGGGTTACGAGCGTCACTCAGCGTATGCAGCTCCGGCTCTCGTCGAAGATAGCGCCGACACCTCCAGCGAGCCCGCCGCGCTCGACGCGGATGCTGCAGCCAACGGCGTGGGCGGCGAGGCTCGCGGCGCCACGCTTGCGCTGCAGGCCGAGTTTGAGGAGCTATCACGCGAGCTGCAGGAGCTGTGGGTGGCCAACGAACAGCGCGATGAGGACGATCCGGAGAGGCTGCCCCTCGATGACTTGGTGATCGACTTGGATGGTATGGGTGGACGCTAGACAGATGATGACGACACGCACGAGCGACACACAGACACAAACAGGCTCACAAGACACACAGCCAGCTGGCTGCCACACACCCTGAGTAGGCGTACACATAACTCAGGGCCACATCCTCCCTGTCGCCCCCCCCAGCACTCCAAGGCACCAGAAGAACAAACAAGGGCACAACAAACAACAGACAACAGGAAGTGACATGCGAGGCTAGAGCAGTCTTGCTCTACCTCCAGCAATCTCGCCGGCCGGCGAGGCACGGACGAGACCGTGTGTGGGGTCATGTGAGGTGTCTATGGACGCTCTCCTCAGAGGCTAGCTGCCTACTGCTAGCCCTATCTCGCACTCACGGGCAGTGACAATTCAATGGGTGAGTGTTTGCGAGCAGAGGCGCGTGGGCTAAATCTAGGCCGCACGTCGTGGCACTATGACGAAGGTAGACGTGCGGCCGCAGCGCGCCCGCCGCAGGCTCGGCGGTGCGCGCGTGTTAGCGAGACCCGCGTGATTCTCGAAACCTCGGGACACCTTATCGACGCCCGGCCTCACAGCAGGGCTTCGCCGCGCCGCGCTGAGAGCGAGCGAGCCGCCCCTACCGGCCCGCAGCGGCGGCTTCGCTCACTGATGAGCGGCGACAACGACACAATTCGCCTGCTCTCGCCACCTCGCCGGAGCGCCTTCAAGGTGCGAGCGCTGCTCTGGCGCAAGGAGCGGCTGCTCAGATGCCGCAGACCACTCGCGACGCTCTGCGAGCTGCTCGTTCCGCTCGCGCTCTGCTCCCTTGGCTCGTTGGGTGCGGCCTTCTCCCGGGTGGTTGAATATCCAGAGCGGCACTTTGCGCCTGGCAACCTCTCGGCAGCCCGTGCGACCGCCCTACCGCCGGCCGTGCTCCAAGGCTTCCTGTCGGCCAAGACTGCTGGTCTGCCCATGCTTGGCGGAGCTGCGGCGGCGCTCCCAGCGGGCGTGCCCGGCGCCGTCCCCGACCTCTCCCTCTGGCTTGCGTGCGCGCACTTTGCGTCGTCTCTGCCTGGGCTCGCGGCCGGAGGGCGAGGGCGGCGCCTTCTCACGGGTCCCAAACCCAACCCGCGACCCCGAACGCGGACCGTAGGCTCGGGCAGAGGGCGAAGGTGGCGCCGTACGACGGGTCTCGCCTCGCCGTCGCTCCGGACGATCGCGAGACCAAGGCGCTCGTCCAGCAGATGCTGCTCCGCGCGAGGCAGTTCGAGGCGCTCGCCGCGTCGGCCGCACGCCTCAACGACTCATCGCTGCGCAAGTCTCTCGACGGCGCCGAGAGCTTCTTCGGCGGCTCGGGCGGGGGGCTGGCGAAGCTGCTGCCCGGCGGAGCCGGTAGTGCGCACGGCCTCCTCCAGGCGGTGCTCCAGTTTCGGCTGCCCGAGGTGCGCTACTACGCCGACGAGCGGGCGCTGCTCGGCGCGGCGCAGCAGCAGGGGAGAGTGCGGGCGGCCGTCTCTTCACACCTCGAGGTGTGAATAGGCGCGGCGCGGCAGCAGGGGAGAGTGTGGGCGGCCGCAACGTCCGGGAGGCGCCCGGCCGTGTCGGAGCTTCGGCTGAGTTGCCTGTGGGAGCCGCTCGCTAGGTGCCCGTCTCTCTCTCTCTCTCTCTCTCTCTCTCTCTCTCTCTACCTCTCTCTCTGACGTGTGGGAGCCGTTCGCTAGGCGGCCGTGGTCTTGGAGCGGCCGCCTCCTCCCGAGGGCGAGCCGGGCCGCTACTCGTACGTCCTTCGGCTCAACCGTTCGGCCGCTCCGAGGACCTCCTCGCTGCTCGACCGCTTCGCCGCGGGCGACCGCTCCTCGCTGCAGCGCGGCGCGCTGCTCCGCGAGGCGTCTTCACACTGTTGCTGTGAACAGGCGCTCTCGCTGCAGCTGGGCGCACTGCTCCCCTCTGCGAGGCCTCCTCGAGGCGTCTCGGAAGCTTGTCGGTAGGCGGGTTCTCCCGCCGCTTCGAGCGGTACTACTCTTCGGGCTTCCTCTCGCTTCAGGCCCGCCTCGACTCTGCCGCTGCTCAGCCACCAGAGAGGCGCGTCTCTGAACCGTCTCCGAACCTTCCTGCAGACTGCTCTCGACTCCGCCATCCTGCGCCGCGTGGCTAGCACGAGTCGCGGCGGCGGCGGCGGCGGCGGCGGCGGCGGCGGCAGCGGCGGCGGCGGCGGCGGCGGCGGCGGCGGCGGCAGTGACTCGGAAGCGTTGATTGCGGCGCTGACGCAGGCCCTCGGCGGAGGCGGCGGTGAAGACCTCCCTGTGGCGTACGGGCTGCCGTACCCGGTCCCCCCCTCCTCGCACGCCGCCTTCTTCGACCTTGCTGGCCCGCTCGTCGGCCTGCTCGTCCTCTTCTCGCTGCTGCTGCCGGTGGCGGCCGTGCTGCGCGCCCTGGTCGCCGAGAAGGAGTCGAAGCTGAGGGAGGCGCTGCTGATCGGCGGCGCCGGCCGCGGCGCCTACTTCGCCTCCTTGCTGCTCTCGCACGGCGCGGCCTTCCTGCTCGTGGCGCTGCTCTCCTCCTCTCTGATCGCGCCCTCGTGCTTTGCGCACTCCGAGCCGTCCCTCGTCCGAGCCTTGTCCGCGCTCCTCGCGCTCGCCTCGGTGCGCTTGCAAGAGCCGCGCCCGACGCGCGCCCCTCTCTTGTAAGGTTCGTGCTCTTCGCGCTCGCCTCGCTGTGCTTCGCGTTCGCGCTCGCCCCCTTCTTTTCGAGTGCGCGCCTCGCGGCGCTGGTCGGCCCGCTCGCTTTCTTCCTCACCTCGCAGCTCTTCAACCTGTTCGAGCGCGACGGCTCCCTCCTCGAGGGCGCGGTCCGTGCAAAGGCGAGGCCCCACACGAGATTGAGGCCCCACCCGAGATTGCCCCGAGATTACCCGAGATGGAGGGGGGGGGGCGCGGTCCGTGCAAAGGCGAGGTGAAGCGAGATTTCCCCGAGATTACGCGAGGGAGGCGGCGGTCCACTCCCCCTCCCCCCCCCCCTCCCCCCGCCCTTTCGCAAAGGCGCTCGCCTCGCTACTGCCCGCGATGGCCTTCTACCTCGGCGCCTCGCCGCCGGCGCAAGTCCGAGAGGAGCACACGTTCGCCCCATCGACGCAGCCCTGGTCGGGGCCCGTCCTACATGTAGGCGCGTCCCAGCTGGCGCAGCAGGAAGGGGTCCAGCGCGGCGTGACCTGGTCCACCGTGTGGGAGGGCGACTTCCCCCTCGCCGCGACGCTGGCGATCCTCCTCCTCGACGCCGCCCTCTACGCCGCTGCCGGCTGGTACCTCGACCGCGCCGGCCGATCCCTGTCGCAGCTGCCCGTGCGCCTCGCCACCGCCCTCCGCTCCCTCTGCTCGCGCCCGACGCCACGCCGCGCATCGCGCGTCGCCCTCGCGCCGCCCGACGCGCCGCAGCGGGCCGAGGCTGCCCCGCCGCCGCCGCTGGTGGTCGAGCCGCTCTTGGACGGCGGCGGCGCGGAGGCTGGCGGCGCGTCGAGCGGGGAGGGGGGAGGGGCGTGGGAGGGCGGGAGCGGCGGCGTGTGCGTGCGCGGGCTGCGCAAGGTTTACCCGCGCGGTGTGGCTGTGGCGGGGCTGGACCTCGAGATGCGGGGCGGCGAGATCACCGCGCTGCTCGGCGCTAACGGGGCGGGCAAGACGACCACGATCTCGATGCTGACTGGCTTGGTCGAGCCGGACGCACAGGCCCCTTAGCTGCTGGAGACGCCAGTGTCACTCGGCTCCGGGACTTTGGTGCCCAACACGGAGAGTCGCGGAATCGCGCGCCTCCGCCGGCGCCTCCGCCAGGGAGGGCGGCGCAGTCTGCCCCTCCTGACAGCCCGTGTGTCCCGACTAGCCCCTCAAGAAGGAGGCGCGCGCGTCGCTCTCTCTGCCGCCGTGCTCGTGCCGCGGGGAGCCTGTGCGTGCTCATGCTTCGGCGTGCTCATGCTGCAGGCGGGCGACGCGACGATCGGCGGCCTGTCCATCCGGAGCGAGATGGAGGCCATCCGGGGCGCGCTCGGCGTGTGCCCGCAGGACAACGTGCTGTACGACCTCCTGACCGCCCGAGAGCATCTCGAGCTCTTCACGGCCCTGCGCAGCGGGGGTGGCGGCGGGCGCGCTGCAGTTGACTCGCTCCTGGCTCGGGCGAGCCTCGCGGCCAAGGCGAGGAAGAGTTGCTACTCCGTAGCTGTGAATGGATGGAGTCTTTCCTCGTCAGGTGGGCCTCGCGGACAAAGCGAGCACCCTCGCCTCGCGACTCTCGGGCGAGATTACCCGAGATTACCCGAGATTACCCTCGCGACTCTCGGGCGGGGGGGCAGAGGCGCGAGCTCTGCCTCTCATGTGAACAGCGCCTCTTCACGGCGCACACGCTGTGAACAGGCGGCCAGAAGCGCAAGCTCTGCCTCGCGGTGTCGCTTGTGGGCGGCTCCGCACACACACACCTCGTGTCCTCGGCCCCCCGCAGCCAGCCATCCACTCATCAGGACCCCGCCATCCGGCAGGCGGCGCGCGCACCCTCTTCCTCGACGAGCCGACCTCGGGCATGGACCCGCACTCTCGCCGCGCCATCTGGGCGCTGCTGCGCGAGGTGAGGCGCGGCCGGACGGTCGTGCTGACGACGCACTTCCTCGACGAGGCGGAGCTGCTCTCTTAAGTCACCTCCGCGACACCCCCGTGACACCCCCGTGACACCCTCCCAAGACACCTCCCACACAGACACCCTCCCAAGACACCTCCTCGACACCCTCCCAAGACACCTCCCAGACACCCTCCAAGACACCTCCTGGACACCCTCCCAAGACACCTCCCAGACACCCTCCAAGACACCTCCCAGACACCCTCCAAGACACCTCCTGGACACCTCCTCTCAGGCGGAGCTTCTCGCCGACCGGATCGCGATCATGGCGGATGGCTGCCTGCGCTGCGCCGGCCCGCCCTCGCCCCTGGCCGAGTCTCGCCACGGTGCACCGGGAGCGGTCACGCGCTCCTCCTGCTGCGGACAGGTTCGCCGCTCTTCCTCAAGGAGCACTTCGGGGTTGGGTTCCGCCTCACCGCGAGCAAGACCCCGCCCGCGGCCGAGCCGGCCTCGCTCAGCCGAGGCGTGCCACGCCCCCCCTTCTCTCCCCTTGTCACTCCCGCCTGTCCTCTGCAGGCCTGCTCGGCGGAGGCGGTGCTCGAGCTCGCCCGGTCGCACCTCGCTGACGCGGCAGCTGCCCTCCTCCTCGCCGCTCATGGCCCGTCCATACACGGACCTTCCCAGACCCCGTCCCTGTGCCCTCTCCTGCAGGCGCTCCTCTCAGACTCGCCTCTCGAGCTTGAGGTCCTGCTGCCGGGCAAGGCGCTCGGCGCGGCGGCGCGGCTCCGCGCGCTGCACGCGCTCCTCGCGGCGCTCGAGCCGCGGCTCTCGGCCCTTGGCCTCTCTGGCTTTGGGGTCGGCTGCACCAGGCTCGAGGATGTCTTTCTCCAGATCAACGCAGACGCGATCGCTCGGCTGGAGGGGCTGGAGGGGAGGCGGCAGAGGAGGCAGCACGTCCTCACCCGCGCGGCGGCGGGCCCGGGCGGCAGTGGTGGCGGCGGCAGTGGTGGCGGCGGCAGTGGTGGCGGCGGCAGTGGTGGCGGCGGCAGTGGTGGCGGCGGCAGTGGTGGCGGCGGCAGTGGTGGCGGCGGGGCCGCGGGCGGCGGCGCATTCGCTAGGCCGGCAGTGGGCGGCAGCGGAGGAGTGCAGCTGTCGTCCCTCGGCGGCGGCAGCGGCGCCGCCTCTCCTCCTCCGTCGCCCGAGTCGCCCGAGGAGGCCGGGTCGCACTTGCGGCTCGGGGGATGCCGCTCGTCCGAGTCGCATCCGGCCCCGCTCCTGCCCGCCCCGCTGCGCCCGCCCGACGGAGGGCGCGGCGGCTGCCTCCCGAGCTGCTCCGCCGCGTACGGGCAGTACGTCGGCCTGCTGGCGAAGCGGCGGCTGACGGCGCAGCGCTCGCCGTGCACGAGCGGATGCATGCTTCTCTTCCCCGTCGCCCTCGTCCTACTCGCCCTCCTCCTCCTCTCCGCCGCCATCCACTCGGACCAGCCCCGCTTGCGCCTGGACCAGCCCCGGGACATCTTCTCGGACGGAGTCGGTCCGGGCGCGCTCGCCGCCGACACCCCCGCAACCAGCGCCCTGGTCGAGGGCTGGGAGAAGCAGGGCTGGTCTGTGGGCGGAGAGAAGCCCGCCTGCGACGTGGGCTTCCCAGCCGCGGCGCAGAACCTCTCTGCGTATCTCGCCCAGCACCCGGACACCCGCCGCCCAGTTGCGGTAGCCGCGAGCGACGCAGCCGTGCTGTGGAGCTCGGGGCTGCGGCGACGCCAGGTTGTGACGCTCGCCTTCAACGCAACCTCCACCCACGCGCTGCCGGCGCTCGTGCACGCCCTCTACGCGCGCCTCTACGCCAACCGCACTGGCGGCGCCGGCCACCTCTCCGCCTCGGTGCAACCACTGCCCGACACCGACTCGACGCAGCACGCGCTGTCCGCCTTTGCGTCGCTTTTCATCGCCATCATGATCATGATCCCCTTCGCCTTCGTCGGCGCCGCCTTCGTCTCCCCGCTCGTCGCCGAGCGCGAGTCCGGCGCCAAGCAGCTGCAGCGGGTGGCGGGCGCGTCGGGGACGGTCTACTGGCTCGCCTCCTGGTCTTGGGACCTGCTCACCTACCTGCTGGTGGTCGGCTGCACACTGGCCGCCTTCCTCGTGGTGAAGAGGGAGGAGTTCACCGGCTCGCGCGAGGCGACCCTCGCGACGACGACGGTCCTCCTCCTCTTCGGCTGGGCGGCGCTGCCTCTCGCCTCGTGCGCCTCCTTCCTCTTCCGCTCGCCGTCGCGCGCGCTGATCGGCATGACCACCTTCCACCTCCTCTCCGGCTTTGGCTTGCTCGTCGGCGACTTCATCCTCGCGAGCGTGGCCGGCGCCGCCTCCGGCACGAACGCGCGCCTCCGCCCGCTGTACAACCTCTTCCCCGCCTACGCGCTCGGCAAGGCGCTCCTCGACCTCGCCACCCGCGACCTGCTCTCCACCTTTGGCGTCGCCGCGCGCAGCTCCCTCTTCGACTGGGAGACGCTCGGCAGGCCGATGGCCCTGCTCTTCGGCGAGGGCGTCGCGTTCGCCGCGCTCGCCCTCCTCCTCGAGGCGCTCGGCGAGGCGCTGCCGTGGCTCGCGGGGTGCCGCCCGTCGCTGCCCGGTCGGCTCGCCGCCGGCGGCGCCTCTGCGGCGGAGGACGAGGACGAGGACGAGGACGAGACGGTGCGGCGCGAGAGGCGGCTCGTGGAGAGGGGCGCCTCCGCGGCGGACCCCGCCACCGCCGAGCGCCTCGCCTCGCGCGGCGTCCACTGCGCGCGCGATCCCCCCGAGGAGGAGGCGCCGCTCGCGGTGCGCCGCTTGCGCAAGGTCTACGGCAACCTCTGCGGCGGCGGCAAGGTCGCGGTCGCTGACCTCTGCCTGCGCGTGGAGCGCGGCGAGTGCTTTGGCTTCCTCGGCACCAACGGCGCGGGCAAGTCGACCACCTTTGCGATGCTGACGGGCGCCACCGCGCCCACCTCGGGCGACGCGCTCCTCCACGGGCTCTCCTCGCGCCACGAGCAGCCGCAGATCCGACGCCAGCTCGGCTACTGCCCGCAGCACGACGCGCTGCTGGCGCTGCTGACGGCGCGCGAGACGCTGCGCCTGTACGCGCGCATCAAGAGGGTGCCGCCCGCCGCGATCGAGGCCACGGTGGAGTCGCTCCTCCTCGACCTCGACCTCGCGAGGTTCAGCGACAAGCCCGCCGGCCAGCTGTCCGGCGGCAACAAGCGCAAGCTCTGCGTCGGCGTCGCGCTCGCGCCTGCGCCTGGGTTGCCGAGATTCCGCGAGATCACCCGAGATCACCCGAGACTAGGCATCGCGCTCGTGGGCGCGCCGTCCCTCGTGCTGCTCGACGAGCCGTCGTCGGGGATGGACGCCGCCTCGAAGCGCTTCCTCTGGGCGGCCATCAAGCGGCGCACCCTCGAGTGCTGCACCGTGCTCACCTCGCACTCGATGGAGGAATGCGAGGCGCTGTGCGGCCGCATCGGGGTCATGGTCGGCGGTAAGCTGCGCTGCATCGGGCCGATCCAGGCGCTCAAGTCGCGCTTCGGCTCGAGCTGCGGCCTGAAGCTGGAGCTGCGGCTGCACTCCGAGCAGGCGCAGCAGCAGGCCGCGCTGCTCGACCGCCTCTGGCTCACGTGCGGCGCGCGGCTCGACGAGGCGGAGCCTCCTCGGCTGACGCTGACGGTGCCGCAGCGCGGTGAGCCACTCTCACTGCTGTTTGGACACCTAGCCGAGGCTTGCGAGGCTTTCGCCGTCAGCGAGTGCTCGGTCACACAGTGCTCTCTGGAGCAGATCTTCCTGCTCCTCGCGTCGGGCACGTCGCCCCCGCCGGCGGCCTCGCCCCCGCTGGCGGCCGCCGGGAAGACATAGTACGTGGTCCCGAAGTTGTTGCCTGATACGCGGCTGTGCCCTTACCTTACTCGTGGGTGTCTTCAACGGAGCGAAGGATGCGGTTAAAGATTACATTTTATTATAAAGATACTGGAGCGAGTGGAGTCCCCGCGCGGCGAAGGCGAAAAGCCTTGCGTGCACTGTGTGACGCCGCTCCGACCCGAATTTGGAGGGCCTAAAAGTTTAAGGTGTTGCTGCGCAAAAGGGGTTGGACACAGGGCGCAGCTCATGCCAAGAGCTAGAAGGCGGGAGCTAGAGAGAACGACTACCCTGTCCCGTTATTGCGTACCTTGTACACCAACACCACAAAAGCTCTCTCTCTCCTGTCCTCACTCAGGGGGGTAACTACCGAGTCCCTCGACTAGCTGCCACGTTGCCGACCGAGAGCGGATCTCCTCCTGCTCCGCAAGGAGGGTGGCCAAGGCTAAAGTCTTGCCGGAGCCGCCGGGCGCGTTGACGACTTGGAGAAGGTCGCCCTTGTGCTTGTACTTGTAGAGATGCTCGAGGGGGTGCTTTGTGGGGCGGTGCGCAGCCAGGCCAGCAGTGAGGGGAGGCGCTCCCTCACTCTCCTCGGTTGCAGAGCTCGTCGGAGGCTGCGGCACGACGGGAGGGTCGCGATAGCAGTCCTCGGGCGAGCGCGCATGTCCATGCAACCAGCGCTGGGACTCGTTGTGACGGCAGACGCCGGCTGCCTCTCCAACCGCTTCTGCAGCGTCCTTCTTTGCCCGGTGCATGGGCTCGATCCGATTCCGCAGCGTGTCGTCCCCAGCGGCGGTGCTGCGCGGGAGCGCGGCCGCGGGCACGCTGGGCTCGATCAGCGGCTTTCCCTCAGTTGCACCGAGATCACGCAGTTCGTGCACGGTATTCGGATTTTGCTATTTGCTCGTGTGGGGGTATATTGCAGATTTGTCAATGGTACCGCGTCTGCGACGCGGGCGCCTTGCGAGCAGAGCCCTTAGGCCACCCTTTGTTTGTGTATGTCTTGCGCGGTAAATATTCTGTGAGTGAGGAGCCCAAACTGTCACTCCCCTTTCTCCCGGCCGGGGTGGGGCGCGCGCGGGGGCGGCGGGTGCGGGATGTCTATAGGCCCGAGAGCAATGTACCATGTCCGCCTTACGTTTGACTAAAACATCGAAGCCGGTGAAGCCCCAGTCAGGGAAGGTGCTATGCGCTTCCGACACCGTGTCGGGGTGGTTGAAGAAGAGCGTCCACTCAATCTCCTTGGCGTCGTCGGGGATGCGCGCCCAGCCAGCGTCGGCGCTCTGCAGGTTGCTGTACAGGTCCGCCGCCCAGCGGCCCGCCAGGTAGCCGCACGCATCGCGCATTTGATCGGTGCGGAAGAGGGCGGTGGTGGCGAGGCCCGCCTGTGCCATGCGCTTTGCCACGAGGCGAGCCTCTTGCGACGAGAGAAAGTCGATCACGAGGGCCTCGCCAGCCCGTGTCCTGTCTGAATGTGAGTCTTTGTGTCGCACTCTCAGTGAGGAGGGGGTTTGCCCACGCCACCGGCTAGTCCCGCGGCATCGGCTTACGCCACCGCCAGCGGCGCCAACGGCATCGGCTCCCCCCCCCCTTCCCGTGTCCGGCTATTGTCGCCTGTGCATACATGCTCGTTAAACGCGGGATGCTCACCCCTAGCACAGAAAAGAGAAAAGAGACGAGGACCACAAAGAGAAGGAGGAGTGCGGGCGCCACGCCCGCGCCCCCGAGCCAGCTAGGGCTAACCTGAGGTACCATAACATTTGGCACCACGGCGGGCGCTGGGGGCAAATCAACACCGATTGGGTATGATCAAGATTGACGGATGGTGAGCGGCGATACGGGCCGTTGCGGTGTGTGTCACACCGCCAAGCAGTCGAAAATCAGCTTCGTGCGAGGCCTGGCGCCTGTGCCGACCATTGCTGGCTTCCTGCAGAAATCTTGCGACCCTCCTGCGCCGTCGCAGTCCGTCAGTCAGCCCGCAGGGTCGTCGCTGTGCGAGGATGGCGCCGCAGTCTCGCTCCTCGCGCTGGGCGTCCTCAGCCGCGAGAGCAACGCGCAGCAGCGGGACGGAGTGCGCGAGACGTGGTTTCGGCTCGCAGGTGACCGCGATTCGGCCGCGTGCTTTGTTGTGCGCCTGCCGCTGCGGAGCAGCAGCGCGCTGGCGGCAGAGCGCGAGCGGCACCGCGACCTGGTGCTTGTCAACGCGTCGCTTCCCACGGAACTCCCAAACTCTGTCGTTGAGATGTCCTTTGCCTGGTGGATCGCCGCCGCCGCTCGCTTCCCAAACGCCGTCTTCCTCGGCAAAACTGACGACGACGCGTGGGTGCACATCCCGCGGCCCTCTCATTCACACACACACACGCACGCACGCACGCACACACACACACACACACACACACACACACACACACACACGCACGCACGCACGCACGCACGCACGCACGCACGCACGCACGCACGCACGCACGCACGCACGCACGCACGCACGCACGCACGCACGCGCACTCACTCACACACACACACACACACACACACACACACACACACACACACACACACACACACACACACACACACACACACACACACACACGCAGCTTCTTCTTCGCTCACACCTCCAGAGACGCCGTCCCACCACTCCCTCAGGTCCACCTCCCCCGCCTCGCTCTCGAGCTGCGCGGCGCGCAGGCTTGCCTCCCTCGCTCGACTCTCTACATCGGCAAGCACATTGTCGCCACGCACTGCGTCGCCAAACAGACGGCTGCCGGTGGCGGCGCCACTCGCTGGCGCGCGTCCTTTGGCGACTGCATGGCTGTGGACAGCGTCTCTTCACACCTCGAGCTGTGAACAGGTGTGGGGCCGGCTGGTCCTTCTGCCGCCTGTGGACAGCGTCTCTTCACACCTCGAGCTGTGAACAGGTGGCGCCCGTCCTATGGCGACTGGCCACATCTCGCCACATCTCGCCACATCTCGCCATATCTCCCCATAGGCGCCCGTCCTATGGCGACTGGCCGTATCTCGCCACATCTCGCCCCACATCTCGCCACATCTCGCCATATCTCCCCATAGGCGCCCGTCCTATGGCGACTGGCCGCACCTCATGTGGACGCGGCACAACCTGACGGCGCGGGAGGTTGTGGTGATGACGAGGGGGCGGGCAGACGTGTCGCTGTGCGGCTCCCCAGGCCTCTGCCCCGTAGACACGGCGCCAGCTGTGCGGAGCCACGCATCCCGACACCCTTAGCTGGGTTGGCCATCATGAGGAGAGCTCTCGCACAGGGGCAGGACGCCGAGACTCCCTAGCACGCACTCGAGTGTGATCGAACTGTGCTCGGAGGTACCCGCTGTACTCATACCCCTTGCACCCACGCGCTGCGCTGCACGAGACCGCCTGAGGGTTGATGGCCCGCACTGCCGCGTGCAGCTCGGCATCGAGGGGGCAGTCGCAGAAGGCACCGTCGCCGATAGCGGTGAGGCTGTCCGGCAGCGTGACGGTGGTGAGGGCGGAGCAGCTGCAGAAGACCCTCTTGCCAATCGAGGTAAGGCTGTCCGGCAGCGTGACGGTGGTGAGGGCGGAGCAGCCTTCAAAGGCGCCTTCGCCGATCGAGGTGAGGCTGTCCGGCAGCGTGACGGTGGTGAGGGCGGAGCGTGGAAGGCGTAGTCGCCGATGTGAGGCTGTCCGGCAGCGTGACGGTGGTGAGGGCGGAGCAGCCTTCAAAGGCGCCTTCGCCGATCGAGGTGAGGTTGTCCGGCAGCGTGACGGCGGTGAGGGCGGAGCAGCCGTCGAAGGCGTAGTCGCCGATCGAGGTGAGGCTGTCCGGCAGCCTGACAGCGGTGAGGGCGGAGCAGCGGAGGAAGGCGTTGTCCTCGAGTGCGATCACGCCGTCGGGTACAATCGCGTGCCTATCCTCGTCTATCGGGTATGCCGGCTCCTCCTCCTCCTCCTCCTCCTCCTCCTCCTCCTCCTCTCCATCCTCCTCTTCCTCCTCCTCCTCCCCTCCCTCCCACCGCTCCATCTTTTCACTAGCCGCCGCCGCCACCTCCTCCGAGTCGCTGTCCTGCATTGCCTGCAGAAACTCGAGTAGCGTCGCAAACGCCTGCGCTCCAGCCTCGCCAGTGGGCTCTGGCTCTGCCGTCGAGGCTTGCAGCTTCAGCTCAAGCGCACCAACCACGCTGGCGGCCTTCTCCAGCGCCTGCCGCAGCTCGCCCTGCTCCAGTAGAGCCGCCGCCTGTCGGAGCTCCGTCGGCCAGTCAAGCGCAGCCGAGTCATCCGCAGCTACCTCGTAGGTATCCATCCTTGCTGCGCGAACAACACCCGCATTGGTGGATGGCAGGAACCTAAAGCTCGTCACCTCGCGGCGACACAGCGGGCACTGGCACGATTGCGACCGCGGATCGATGATCCTGAAGGTGCAAAGCTCGCAGAGCATCGCGTGGCCGCATGGCTGGTTCTGAACGGTGCGAGGCCGACTCATGCACGCGGAGCAGCTGTCGCCGTCTTCATTATTTTTGGTCATGCTGGTGTCAGTAGTGAAGGCACCGGCCACCGTGGTGCTGTTGAACGCAACGTGCCTGGCAGACCCGTTATTACTCTTGACACACCGCTCGCCAGGTCCGCAGAAGGACGGCCGCCGACAAACACCCACGACTTGGCGGTGGTAACTCGAGGTTGTAGCAGAAAGAATTCTTAAGATACAAGCCTCTCTCACAGCACACTGGCAAGAAAGAAGTTCAGTCAGCTGCAGGGGACATCTCATGAAATGCTTTCGTGGTGTCCCGCTGAGCGGGCACTTGGAGTCATCAGCAAAACACCAAAGAAAGAAAGAAAGAAAACAGACAACCCAAGGGAGGGATGGCACCAGAAAGAAAAGAAAGAAAACAGGTACACCAAGTCCGGCTCGAATTCTTTCTTCGCGATGTCCACCCCGCCGCGCCGCCGCTCGCGCCGCCTCGCCCCCGCCGCCACCGCCGCTCCCTCGCCAAGCACGCCGCCGCCCGTCCGCCTGCTCGACCTTCCCAGGGAGCTCCTCGAGCGCGTCCTCTCTCGCTGCGACAGCCCCATCGACATCGCTCGCGTCGCTCCCGTCTCCCACCTCTTTCACGCCTCACTCGCGGAGGAGGGCATCCGCTTGTGGGCGCAAGAGCGCGGCTTCGAGCTGCCGGCGAAGCCACAGGGCGAGGGCTGCGCCGTGCGGTGGCTGTGCTTCGCTGTGCTGCTGCGCGAGTCCAACCCGCCGGTGAGGGCGGCTGGAGGCAATCGGCACAGCCTCTTCATCGACGGCGAGGGGCGGCTGTCGTCGTGCGGCTCAAATCCGTCCGAACCCCCATCGCTCCTCGGTCACGGCGAGGGCGTGACGCGGCTCAACACGCCGACCCGCCTCCCGTCTCCTCTCCGTGCTGTGAGCGTGTCGGCTGGAGAGAAACACAACCTCGCCCTCACCGCCGGTGGCAGCGTCTGGAGCTGGGGCGATGGAGTCTACGGCCAGCTGGGCCACGGCGACGGGCAGAACCAGCTCCTGCCGCAGAAGGTCGAGGCCTTGGCTGACCAGCGCGTCGTCGCGCTCTCGGCTGGAGCCCGCCACAGCCTCGGCCTTACCGCCGACGGAGCCGTCTGGAGCTGGGGCTGGGGATACTTTGGCAAGTTGGGCCACGGCGACACGCAGGAGCAGCTGCTGCCGAAGAAGGTCGAGGCCTTGGCTGACCAGCGCGTCGTCGCTGTGTCGGCTGGACTCGGGCACAGCCTCGGCCTTACCGCCGACGGAGCCGTCTGGAGCTGGGGCGATGGCTGCTTTGGCAAGCTGGGCCACGGCGACCAGCAGCACCAGCTGCTGCCGAAGAAGGTCGAGGCTTTGGCTGGCCAGCGCGTCGTCGCTGTCTTGGCAGCACCCAACCACAGCCTCGCCCTCTCCGCCGACGGCGCCGTCTGGAGCTGGGGCTGGGGAGTGTTGGGCCAGTTGGGCCACGGCGACGAGCAGGAGCAGCTGCTGCCCAAGAAGGTCGAGGCTTTGGCCGGCCAGCGCGTCGTCGCCGTGTCGGCTGGAGCGTTCCACAGCATCGCTCTCACTGCCGACGGCGGCGTCTGGAGCTGGGGCGGTGGAGCCTGGGGCGAGCTTGGCCACGGCGACCAGCAGACCCAGCTGCTGCCGAAGAAGGTCGAGGCCTTTGCTGGCCAGAGCGTCGTCGCTGTGTCATCGGGAGATCGCCACAGCATCGCCCTCACCACCGACGGCGCCGTCTTTGCATGGGGCGAGGGAGTGCACAGCTGCTTGGGCCACGGAGAGAACGTGGCGAACCAACTGCTGCCCAAGAAGGTCGAGGCGTGGCCGCCGGGAGCGGGCGCGGTAATGTGAGGCGCGTCGCGCTAGCCTTCCCTGGGACTCGGGGGCGAACGTTGCCTGAATCCGACTGTCGATCTCCGTCTGCGGAACCTTTTTGCACACATCGGGGCGGGGGCGGCGGGCACACTGTGGGCACGGTAGTGCAGCGGCACACCGGGGGTTGTCCGAGGATTCCTAGGCTTCCGTTCTTTCCTAGTGTGTGAGGGAGTGGTGCGGCGTCTTGGACTTCAATTGGTTGTCTTTAAAAAATCGTATTATCCTTTCGCCTGCGGACGGAAACGTTCAGGGCTCCCATTCGTGTCCCCGCACCCCGGACCCCGCCCGCCCGTCGGTCTCAGCTCGATTCATCTAGCGCATCGGACCATCCGCTCTCCCCGCTCAGCACCGCAGCACCATGGCAAGCACCCCGAATGGCAAGATTGTTTTCAGGTTGATTGCGGGCCCCGAAACCGAAACGGCGAAAGCAGGCCAGAAATGCACATTGGCGGGTCAGCCTCCTCGCCCGGATGTCGTCAGACACGCCGCCGCCCGCCCGCCTGCTCGACCTCCCCAGGGAGCTCCTGCTGCGCGCTCTCTCTCGCTGCCACAGCCCCCTCGACATCGCTCGCGTCGCGGCCGTCTCCCACCTCTTTCACGCCTCACTCGCGGAGGAGGGCATCCGCTTGTGGGCGCAAGAGCGCGGCTTCGAGCTGCCGGCGCAGCCAGAGAACGAGAGCTGCGCCGTGCGGTGGCTGTGCTATTCGGCGCTGCTGTGCGAGTCCAACCCGCCGGCGAGGGCGGCGGCAGGCAGTCAGCATAGCGTCTTCATCGACGGCGAGGGGCGGCTCTCGTCGTGCGGCTCTGTGGAGCACGTCGCAGGCCTCCTTGGCCACGGCGAGGGCGTGACGCGGCTCAACACGCCGACTCGCCTCCCGTCGCCGCTGGGAGGCGAGCGCGCCGTGAGTGTGACGGTGGGAGACAACCACAGCCTCGCCCTTACCGGCAGCGGCGCCGTTTGGAGCTGGGGCGGTGGAGGGAGCGGCCGGCTGGGCCACGGCGACGACCAGGCCCAGCCGCTGCCAAAGAACGTCGAGGCCTTTGCTGGCCAGCGCGTCGTCGCTCTGTCGGCTGCAGGCTTCCACAGCCTCGCCATCACTGCTGACGGCAGCGTCTGGAGCTGGGGCTATGGAGTATGGGGCGCGCTGGGCCACGGCAATCGGCAGAACCAGCTGCTGCCCGAGGAGGTCGAGGCCTTTGCTGGCCAGCGCGTCGTCGCTGTGTCGCCTGGAGGCGTCCACAGCCTCGCCATCACCGCCGATGGCGCCGTCTGGAGCTGGGGCAATGGAGGCTCTGGCGAGTTGGGCCACGGCGACCAGCAGACCCAGCTGCTGCCGAAGAAGGTCGAGGCCTTGGCTGGCCAACGCGTCGTCGCTGTGTCGGCTGGGCAGTACCACAGCCTCGCCGTCACTGCTGACGGCAGCGCCTGGAGCTGGGGCGGTGGAGGGGACGGCCGGTTGGGCCACGGCGACGCGCGGGACCAGCTGCTGCCCAAGAAGATCGAGGCTTTTGCTGGCCAGCGCGTCGTCGCTGTGTCGGCAGCAGCCAACCACAACCTCGCCCTCACCGCCGACGGCAGCGTCTGGAGCTGGGGCTTTGGACTCCTTGGCAAGCTGGGCCACGGAGATGAGCAGGCACAACGGCAGCCCAGGAAGGTCGAGGCCTTGGCTGGCCAGCGGGTCGTCGCTGTGTCGGCAGGAGGCGGCCACAGCCTCGCCGTCACCGCCGACGGCGACACCTTTACCTGGGGCGACGGCTCTCACGGCGGCCTAGGCCACGGAGAGGACCTGTCGAACCAGCTGCTGCCCAAGAAGGTCGCGGCGTGGGCGCTGGGGCTGTGAGTTAAGGCAAGGTAACAGAGATACCGACCCCGGGGCCAATGTGATACCCTCAGCTCAGCTTTTGGCGACGAGTGCACGCCCCGCTTCACGAGAGGAGATGGCCGTCCCGCCATGGGCACGGCCGCTTGCGCTTATGCAGACGTGTGGGGGCGGGGGCGGCGGGCACACTGTGGGCACGGTAGTGCAGCGGCACACCGGGGGTTGTCCGAGGATTCCTAGGCTTCCGTTCTTTCCCAGTGTGTGAGGGAGTGGTGCGGCGTCTTGGACTTTCTTGGGGTTTCTTTTTTTTAACGGAGTCGCTTAGGCGGCTCCGGTGGTGAGCCGGTGTGTGTGCCAGTCCGCGCCAGTCCGCGCCCTTGTCGTGCCAGTGTGCTGTTTCACTCCGGAACTTCAACTCCGCGCCGCACGCGCACCGGCCAGGGCTACAATAGTGCCAGTGAGGCGGAGGCGCGAGTCGGAAGGCCGCGACCGTCAAGTGGTTTCGTCATTTTCCTCAATCGCTGTGACCGTTACAATCGGGGCCGCATGCGTCCCCTGCCGTTCGTCGTCGTGGCGGTGCTGGCGTGCGCGAATGCTCAACATTCGCGCGGCACCGACTACGCGATTCCCAAGAGCGCTCGCTGCGCACGCTGACGATGGTGTCGATCTCGTCGTCTGCGATCGATGCTTGGCAGCAACCACCTCAACAACACCCGCTTTATGAGCCAGCTCTGCACATCTCAACCTGTACCAACAGCACAGCTGGAATCGTGCCCTTCAGTGGCCGAGTGGCTGCCGGATCGAATCTCGACGTCTCGGTCCATGCTCTCGCGCGCTCCTCCTCCTCCGGCTCCGGCTCCGGCTCTGGCGGCGGCGGCGGCGGCGGCGGCGGCGGCGGCGGCGGCGGCGGCGGCTGCTACTGCGAACATTTTGGCTCAGCGACAATGCCTTTTGCGCCTGACTCGTTTCGGCGGCACCCTCGACCAAACCTTGCTCAAGGTTCTTGGGTGCAAAGAGCGCGGCCACAAGTCACAGGGCCCGCTCGTCCATGCGACCGGCAAAGGCTGGGTCAAAGAGCACAAGGGACAGTACTACGACGCGCTCCATGTCAAGAACGGAATCGTCAAATTTTGTCTCGTCGAAAGCCAGGGCGGCATTGCATTGCGCCGCCGACCAAGAGAATCATCTTCATCTTCGCCAAAGAGGTCGGCAGCCCGAGCGCCGTCGACCGCACCGACTACGGCACAGCCTCCGGCAGCGCCCGGGGCTTCGCCCAGCACCACTCGCAACAGCTCTCGCACGCCGCCGTCTGTGGCGACGCGCAAAACATCAACAACGCTGCTCGCAACATGCGTGTCGCGCACTCATTCATGACCGGTCTCAATGTCCCACCCCCCTGCGCGCGGGCCTTCTAGGCCGCGGGTAGTCTCACCCCATCCCCAGGGCCTCCAGGGCTCGCACCTCAACCTCTCACAGACCAGCGCATAGCGCCATAGGACGTATTTTCTTGTCAATAACAAGGCTGTGAACCCAGGGCGCGAGTCGGAAGGCCGCGACCGTCAAGTGTCATTTTCCTATACAATCGCTGTGAACCCAGCCACGTACTCTATGTGTGGTGTGCCTTGCGTGCGAGGTGCGTGCGAGAGCGAGGGGGCCGGGGCGGGCCCGGCCTCGCGCGTCGCGGGGCCTGGGTGCGAAGCGCACTGTCCGCTGTTCGATTACTTCTTGATCTACATCTAGGTAATAATCTGCGTATATCGCGCGGCCCGCGCTGAGGCCTGAGCGCTGAGGCTGAGCCGTGAGCGTGAGCCAGTCCCGCGCACAACACCAGCCACCAACCTCAACCAACCGAACAGTTGCCAACACCAGGACGTGGGCGGGTCGGCCGCGGGGCAAGCGCTGCACATCACGGCGCTCCCGTATCGTCCCGCCCCCCCCGAGGCCCGCGGCCGCGCAATCTTCATTCACACCGAGCATGCCTCCCCACCGGAGTCTGCATGCGTGGCGCCACCGCGCCCGCTGCTACTCGAAGGAGGCGAGGAGGGTCAGCTTGTACATCTCTAGCTCACGCTCGTGCAGCTTGGTCGAGACGCCGTGCGCCGTCGACGCGCGCGGCACGCCCTATGGAGATAAGAATCAAAGCGACTCTGCCACGATCCTGCACAAGAGGGGGGGGGGGTGCACTATACGGGGTGCGATACTGTGCTCCATCCGAAGAAGCAGCGTGGAGAGGCAGTGAGGCATGTGAGCAGGGAGGGTGAGTGCGCCATGGGAGGAGGAGGGGGGAGGGGGGGTGCGACGCTGTGGGACGAGAATGAGGCCGGGATCGAAGTTCCTTGCCGGCGTCCTCGATCCTGACGACGCCCGCGTCGAGGCCGCACATGTGGAGGAAGGCGGTGTGGAGGTCCGCGCCCTGGTAGTATGGATTCGAGCCGAGCACCGCCGCCACGTCGTTGCGGCGCGCGATCGCCCTCCGCGCACCGGTCACGAGGACGACGCCGTGTCCCACCGCCAGCTGGCCGGCCTCGGGTCGCGCCGAGAGCTTAAAGGCGTCCTTGACGAGGATCGGGTCGTTGCAGACCAGGTTCGCGCCGGAGAGGTCGATCGCGCCGGCGTTGAGCGAGCAGTAGGCGAGGCGGCGGCAGAGCCCTCCCCCGTGCAGCAGAGCGAGCTCCTCCACCACGTCGCTGATCTCGAGGGGCCCGCCTGTGTGACTCGGGGGGAGGGGGGAGCAGGGGGGGGGGGGGGGGGAGGGAAGGGGGGGGGGGGGCTCCTTAAAATTTTCCCACGGAACAAACGGGGCCTCCCCGGGGTTCTTTTGGGCCCGGGGGGGCCAGTCCAAATGCCCCCCAACCCCAAGGCCTTGGCAAAAGGGGAAAGCCCCTGGG